TAATTCCTACTTAAACATGTCAATTGTCTTGGTATCAATTTTATGGTTGTAATTGGTTTCCAGTGTCATATAGACACTCTTATATGCAATAACATGGTTATAACACCATATTTTCCCATTACAATAGTCTAGCTAGGTCATCAAGTGTGAGGAAGCTGGTTAGGCAGCCCACAAGTATATATTTTCTATAGGGTATCTGTGCTATTTTTAGAAGCCCATCACTTACCTTAGCTACTTGATAGTGAATGTTCCAACCAATTAGTAATGTAAGGTGATAAATAAAAATATATTAAGTAGTCAACAGCTGTTGCAAGACTTCAAATTCCTTGCTCAACACTAGATTTTAATTTTCTTAAATTTTAATTAAATTTAATTTTTTTATACTGACGGTTAATTTGCTTTAAAATCTGAACGGAAGGAGGTAAACTAGTAAAGTCATATATATTATTGAAGGGAATTTAATTCTCTACAACCCTATGCCCAGCATTTATTTTTTGAGTGCATAGTTTGAGAGGCAACTTGTCAAAAAGAACAAAAAACATGAGAAAAAATGTATTTTTCCAAATTTACAAACTTTTGATAGCAAATAATACGAAAACTATACAAGATATCAAAAAATGGTAAATTACAAACTTGCTGGAAATTTAATAAGCTTTCATTTTGTATATTAGCATAATTTCGCTTGGACGCATGGTTTCCGAAATATCAGCAAAAAACCGAAAAATAGTACATTCAAGCCCCCCCCTCCCCCACAGCACAAGGGCTAGAGGCGGAGACTTTTGGTATGTTAACCTCCTAACTATACTAAACAAAGTTACGAAGTCAGAAATTGTGTTCCAAACATTTCCCTCTATACCCTTTTTTTAGCATTCGTTGCCTGGACTACAGGGCTTTTCGAAATAAAGATTTTGCCTGGGCCACCTTCTTTGATCTTAGCAAGGCCTTTTATTGTGTTGACCATGTGACCTTGATGCAGAAGTTGGAATTTTATGGAATTAGAAACAGAGTGCTCTAAATCTTTTGTGGTCTTATTTAACAAATCGTAGACAGGAGGTAATATGCTGATGGTGAATGGTCCTCAATCGCCCTCAGCAACTGTGTGGTACCTCAAGCTCTGTTTTGGATCCCCTTCTGTTTTTAATTGCCATAAACGATCTGCCTATGAATCTTAGTTGCAATTCCTATCTCTATGCGGATGATACCACCTAGCTATCTTGTCACAGTGACCTTTTGCATCATAAGTCAATTGTCAGAAACACAGTCAACACTGCTGGCGAGTGTTTTTCAGCTAATAGTTTTTCTTTTAATAAAGACAAAACACAATCAGTCATATTTTGCCTAAGACCTCTACATGATACAGATAGACCCACTTGAATCTGAACTGTCCAATGTGGTAAAATTATTGGGTGTCCATATTGACAAACAATCGACTTGGTCTGACCATATAACTCAACTCTGTGCTAGGTTAAGTAGAATGATCTGCCTTTTTCGTAAGCTTAATGATTTAGTTCCTATTAGTTATTTAAGATCAGTTTACTTTGCTTTATTTCAGTCTGCCTTGAACTACGGTATGGTATCATTCTTTGGGGTAATAGTTCTAATGTCTCCGATGTCTTAATATTACAAAAAAGGTCCTGCGCATAATGGCTAGGGTTGATCCTGAAGAACATTGTTGCCATTGTTTATTGCATTTAATATTTTAACCGTTATTAATTTATATATATTGAATATAATGTTAACTAGTTTTAAGGAAATGGACTCCCATGCCACAAGGAGTGATTTTCACGATTTTAAAACTAGAAACAGACATCAATTTGATATACCCCATGTTAGACTGAGTAAAACAAAGAAAAGTCATAAAATTCTGGATCTAAAATGTCTAAATAAATTGCCCAACAAATTGCTGTCGCTTCCTTACAAAGTTTTTAAAGCTAAATTCATATGTGGCTAGAAGAGAACCGGTTCTACAAATTAAACGATTTTTTTAGAACTTCCTAGACCATTACATAATATAGAGTAATGTTTGTACTTTTTTCTCTTGTAGTTATCCTCATCTGCATGCATTTTATTCTCTTTGTATCTCTAGTTTTGACTACACCCATTGTACTCTTCCTTGACAAATGTTTAACCAACATAATACCTTTCATTGACCATTCCACATGCAATTGTATTGTCTATTGGGAAATAAAGCTTTGATTTGAATTTAAAAATTAATTTAATGACGTTCAATAAATCGGGGGTTATAAGCGGTTTGCTGATTAACGTATTTCGCAACTTTGCACTACCACCCCTAAGTTGTTGACCACCTTTGGAGGCAATTTATTTTTTCTAGCTGTCACTGATATGTTTACAAATGTTGTTTACAAATACCGCAACCATTTCGAATCACGTTTTGAAAGCAAATCCCAACCAAGTGAGATTAAAAACGTTTTTCTTACATAATGGATTTAATTAATCGCAAGTGCAATATTATAGTTTAACCGTAAATTAAATTAAATAACAAGGCATCATCCAGGTCAGGAACCAGAAATTCTTTGTGTATAAAATTGTTCTTGAGTTTTGATAACCAGAAAAAAAGACCTTGAATCAGTGTTTGTGTTGTATATGGCTAGGACACTTAATGATCGTCGGCAATAGCATAGATAAAACATACTAAAATAGCTTACAAACAACGTTTCCACTCATTGACGGCGCTTCAATGACGATTGTGTAAAGTGTGAAGTAAAAAAAGCACAACTGCAGTGGGTGATTGTAATGGAGGTTTATGGATGATGCTAAACTCGCTTTTTCAATGTGTGACTTTCTGTTTCTACTCACCGTGTAATGCAATCGCTGGACCATACAGCAAATAGGCCCATTGCCCATCTCTTGGGTACGTACCACAGACAATGCCTACCTATTTATTCATCTAACAACCTTTCGACGACGATCCTTCATACCAGTACATTTTCCTATACAGGGTGTCACAAAAAAGTGTGATTGGCTATACAGGACCTAATTCTACATGCAAAAATAAGTCAAAAATGAAGAATAAATTTTTTTGGATTTCGGCTTAGTTTAGCCGTAATCCGCCATTTTGTTTTTTGTGGAAAATATTTATTATTTCAAAATCCCTTTGAGATATTTTTACGAAACTTGGCAAAATTGTTTACACTATAGTAAGTAACATTTATAAAAAAAATTATTATTTTAACTTTCCAAATTTAAAAATGTCGGCCGTTTGAATTTTTTAATGCCAAATTTCATGAAAACCGGTACCTAAATCAAAATTTTGTAAGACACTAAGGTTTTAGTATTTATTATGACAAATCCAACAAAACAAAAATGAATAAAATCGGTTCATAAATAAAGAAGCTGTGTTTATTTTAGTAATTTAGACTGAAATTACTTAATACGTTACATAAATTATTACATTACATTTAATACATTTTAATATTAATAATTTCAGTCTAAATTACTAAAATAAACACAGCTTCTTTATTTATGAACCGATTTTATTCATTTTTGATTTTTTGGATTTGTCATAATAAATACTAAAACTTTTGTGTCTTACAAAATTTTGATTTAGGTACCGGTTTTCATGAAATTTGGCATTAAAAAATTCAAACGGCCGCCATTTTTAAATTTGGAAAGTTAAAATAATAGTTTTTTTTATAAATGTTACTTACTATAGTGTAAACAGTTTTGCCAAGTTTCGTAAAAATATATCAAAGGGATTTTGAAATAATAAATATTTTCCCCAAAAAACAAAATGGCGGATTACGGCTAAACTAACCCGAAATCCAAAAAATTTTATTCTTCATTTTTGACTTATTTTTGCATGTCGAATTAGGTCCTGTATAGCCCATCACACTTTTTTGTGACACCCTGTAGAATACATAGCCTAACTTACCTACTTTACGAAATAAAATTACAAATTACCAAAAACCCAACACTGTGTGATTTTTGTCACATTCAACTGACTACTATAAGATCCCCGTACGTAGAACGGGATCAATATCAACATGAAACATTGATTGAGCTTATTTATGTTCAATAACAATTTTTTGTAAACTGACAAAAAATAACCTTAACCACAACTCAGTGTACACCAAGGCTGCCTGGTCTGTGAAACCGAAGCCTGCTCCTGCTAAGCAAACTAGAGGAAAAAAAATACTAACTTCAACTACTGACTAGTGATGGGCGATACGGACGCGTATCGCGATACAGCGATACGATACGTATCGGAAAAAAATATCGTATCGCCGTATTGAATCGGGCGTCTGTATCGCGATACGCGAATCGTATCGTCAAAAATATCGAAAAACGATACGTATCGTATCGTTTTCCCCCTCCCCTACCTAACCTAGAAACGGCAAATTTATTCTATATAAGTACCTGGGGACCAAGCTTTGCTCGGGGAAAATCATTAGTTTACTCTGAAAACAGTCTTAGTATTGCAGATACATTCATTAATCCATTTCCACACTCGACACTGCTCACTGCTCGCCTTTACTACTTCCTTCACAACTCCCTACGTCTTGGACCTGTTTCCCTATTCTTCCCATAGAATTTTAGGATTGCAGATACATTAATGTAATTGCCACAGACAGTTCCCACCACGGCCGCCTACACTCTGCACTGCTAGTGCTAGATAGCAGATAGCACGCTAGTGGAAAGTAAATGGACTGGACTGGGATGGGACTGGTACATTATCAAGTAAAAACCAAAAATACAGACGTCAAAAACTCCTATTTCAAACCACTTTCAAGTTTTTCAAACTACACATCCACAGAGTACAGATTTTGCAGTTTGCTCGGCCTGCGCAAAAAAAGCTTAAAAATATCGTTTTGACATGAATCGTATCGCTCTATGTGCCGATATAAATACAAATATCGTTTTAGGCGATACGATACGTATCGTTTTTCAAATATCGTATCGAAATATCGTATCGTCCCTCGCGTATCGCTATATTCCGATACGATACGATACGTATCGCACATCACTACTACTGACTGAGACTGAGGTATCATGGATGACAGATAGTGGGATTATTGTTTTCATCATCTTATCTAATCAATTTCTGTCTTAGTATCAATTAGTGACATTACAGTTTTCGTTTGACCACTAAACCGAATATTTACATCACACCAAATCATATTAGTAAGTTAAAATAAGATGGGTTAATAGAGTAAGTTTCAAATCAGGATAACCTCTTTAAAAAATTGTATTTCCACCTTCAATTAATTGAGTTATTGAACTGAGGTAATTTAAAATAGTAATTTAAGTTTGCCAGGACATTTATTATTTGTTTTTAAGATCAACATTGTAGCCTTAATGTTTTTCCACTTCATTTATTACAGTAAAGCCTTCAGTCTTTGAAAGTAAACATATGGACATATCTCTGAAACCTGTTGTTATTTTATAACTTAGATTGGGCTAGAAAGAAATATTAATCATAGGCCTATAGGTAAAAATTAAGGACCCAGACCTCAGATAAAAAGCACTTCCTCGCACAACGTAACCCTCTTAAGTGCTATGCTACAATATAGCCTAGATTGTTTTGCATCTTTTTCCTGAAAAGTGCTATGATATGGTTGGTACGATAAGATATCGTTGTTCGCGTTTCATCCGAAAAGTGCTAAACGATGATATACCTATCGTTCTGGCGCTACTTTCGATTGTGTAAGTTTAAATGGACATATCGGTTGACTTGGTTGGTTGTTGTTTCGAAACAGCGATGGTTTCATTCAATTCCTGATATGATCAAGGCCTGATATATTGTTCCTTAGCACTTATGAGATGACAATTTTTAATTTTACTAATTTTTCTTCTCGCACACTAGACTTTGCCCCTGTGGCAAGCAAGCCTAGCACTTTTTGGACAAAATAAGTAAAATAAGTTAACTCTAGCATTTTTTTTTTTTTATTACAAAACAAATTCTAGCATTTAAAGGGACTTGGGTTGCCTTCATCTAGAATACACTCCAGAAATAAAAACCATCCCGTCTGTAACACTCCCAACAACCACTTCTCCTACAACCACGGTACTGCCAACTACCACAACCCCTCCAATAACCCTGACACCGCCAACAACCAAACCACCGTCAACTGTTCCAAATGCATCTAATGCTCCTACAGACATCCCACTCCCATTCAAAGACTGCCTTTTGTTGTGGCCTCAAAAAGACAGTAAAAAAAAGCCAAGCCAATAGAAAATAGACAGTAATCTTTATTGACATTTTTGTTGAGAACATTACATGTGTCAGAATAATAACTAAGATTTGTGGATTTAATATGCTTTAACGGTTGTCAAGAATTCTTTTTCTGAATAGAATGGCCTTTCTTGCAGCCATATTGTTAATTGGTTCTTGAAACGGTGAGTTTGTTCATTTCTAAGTTGTTCTGGTAGGATGTTGAAATACAGGGCCGCTTTGTAGGATGGCTTCTTTTCAAAGAGACTTAGATGGTGAGGTGGTATTGCAAAGCTTGAGGCGTTCCATGTATTGTGATGGTAAATGTCTCTGTTTCTTGTTTGATTTGTGGAGAATTGCCTCACGGATGTAAAGTGATGTCAGTGTGAGGATTTTTAGTTCCTTAACCTGAAGTAAATGCATGCATCACGACTGCTTCCTTGATATTGAAGGTTTGCTAGATATCTTTTAGCTCTTTTTTATGGATAAGGATTCTCTTTTTAGATAGTTTTTTGGATGTACTTCCCCAGACCACCAGACCATACCTGAGGTGTGACTCGACCATGGCATGGTAGGCTGTTTTTGCGGTGTCCAGACCACCAACCTGCTTCACTCACCTGATGACATAAATGCCAGAGCGTAGCTTCTTGCAGAGATGGTCAATTTTCCATGTCAGTTTTGAATCCATGATAATGCCGAGATATTTGGTACTATTTTGTGCTTCTATCCCAGGGATTGATACGTTTGTGTCTTTATTTTTAGTAGAGTAGTTAAGCTGAACAGTTTTCTTTTTATTTAGAGCCAATTTGTTTACTTTGCAAAATTGTTTAGTCATGTTGAAGGTTATATTGATATTTCAGTTTAAAGTTTCTGTTGATTTGTCAGTTAGTTGAGTGATGACAGTGTCATCTGCATATATTGTATTCTGGCAGTATACTTGTTGCTGGTCTGGTAGGTCGTGTGAGGAGGGGGAACAGGACTGGTCCGAGAACTGATCCCTGTGGTACTCCTCTCCGTATAGGGACAACTTCGGAATGTATTTCATGGCGAGTGTTTTTTCCACATGCTGAATCTCGACTAGTTGCTGTCTGCCATTAAGATAACTGCGAAACCATTGTTTATACTTTCCCCCAATACACAGAGCTCCCAATTGTCTAAGAAGTGTCTTGTTGTTAAGGCAGTCAAAGGCCTTGCTAAAGTCCAAAAACAGGCTTTTGACTGAGGAGCCATCTTCTAGTTGTTCTATTATGTGCTCGGTGAGCTGTATTAAGGCAGTGGAAGTGGATCTTCCTTTAAGTAAGCCATGTTGCTGGCTGGTGATCAGCAGATTTTGGTCTAGATGGGATATAAGACTGTTAAGGAACATTTTTTCAAAGATCTTAGAGAAGGTCGGTAAGTGAAATTGGTCTGTAGCTTTTAGCATCTGTGTTTGGTCCACTTTTATATTTAGGGTATACCTTGGCAGTTTTCAGCTGTGTAGGAAAGACCCCTGGTTTGAGAGACTTATTGTTTGAGAGAATGCTGTTAGTGGGTTAACCAGTTCATTTTTTCATGTTTTGACTAGTTTGGCTGATATTTCATCAGTGACAGATGGAAGTTTTTGCTTTAACCCTCCGAGTGTCCATAGTTTAGGCCTTAATGTCCACCTATTTTTGGCCCCTTTGCAAGGTTTTATTAAAACGGATCTGAGAAGCTTAAAACAATGTTAATTCTAATGTTCTATATACCATTTTGTTTGGAAAATCATGGGCTTCAAAATAATATATAAAACATAAGGAACATTTTTTCAAAAAAAAATTTTTAGGTAAAAAAAAAATATAATTTCGAAAATTTTCAAAAAAAAAATAAGTTCGCGCTCAATGAAATTGTATAAATTATAGGCCTATAAATATTTGAAAATAGCCACTTTGTTCTAAATTTAATGAGGATTACAAATATATAATCATATAGCGAGGTAAGTTATCAAATAAATAAGTTATGAGCGAAAAACGGATTTCAGTACATAGCGTTTAGCTAAGAATGTATAGCCTAACCATAGCTAGGAATCTGGCTGATAATTTACATCAATATCACTACCTACTTCTTCAGGATCATCAACCAGCACTTCAAAACCACTTAAATCTTCTTATAATGCACCACGTATATCACTACTTTTGATTTTTAACACTAAAACAATGATAAACGTAATAAAACACATCAGTCATCGGTCCGGGGGAACCTAGCTGTTTACAAATACACGCACGTCAGCTGTCTGCTACAATATTTTCGGAACTAAAATGAATAGCGCTTAGAGACAGGCCTCTGGAGAAAGCTTAGAATATTACGGAAAGAACGATACCTAACTCGATCCAGTTCAATCCGATTCAGTCAGTCATAGAGCCTTCGCCGTAAACGATGTTTGTGCGTCTTAAACTCGACGCGTGACCCTACACAAAGTGTGTTGTGCGTCTATTTTTTGACGCGTGACCCTCGGAGGGTTAAGTGAGTCTATTCCTTTTAGTACTTTGTTATGTGTTGCAAGCTGAAATTTTAGTTTTAGACACCTTCAGTAGTGACATCAAAGCTGTGGAAGGACTATCGTAAAAAAGATAGTAGGGGAAAAATAAAAAAAAGGAACAAGCAACAGCTGAAAGGACATTGGTTAGGAAAGAGCAGATGAAAATTAAGAAGGAAAAATATAAAAATAAAGCCAAGAGAAAAATCCAATCAGTTTGTAAAAATATGTCTAAAAACCCAAAGATATGGAGACTGATAGTGAAGAAGAGGTCGAACAAAATTGAAGGTAACTTCAATTGCTGCTCAGCCCAAAGTATTCCTGAAACCTTCAAAATTGGTTTTTAAGTTTTAGTCCCATATCCGAAAAAAAGAGTCAGTGAAAAGTATAGGCACAATTCCGGGATTGTTTTTTACATTAATTGTGGCTATAATCGGCATATCAATTAGATAAAATCCATTAGTGATATGGTGGGATTTGATCCCGGAACCTGAGATACCAAAGTCCCCCGCTCTAACCTCTATACACAACGACAAGCTTTCTCCGGACCACTTGGGAGGGTTAGGTCTGATAAGCTGTCTATTGTCCACCCCCGAGGCGGCTCGAAATACATTAGTGCCGCTCGGCCACACTCAGTAGGCCTACCATAAATAAATGTTGTTAATGAATAAAAAAATATGAAAACAATTGTTTTATTGAGATTCACCTTGAAATGTTAATAAATTTTATGTAAAATTTGTAAATCGACCAACTGAAAAAGTAGGATATAAAACTGCTTTGTCTCCATTATTTCGGTTAATTGGGGTTCTACTGAAGTTGCTTTCTAGGTTGATGTTAAGTCATACAGTTGGTGTCATAACGGAGTCACTGTGAAGGCTATTTAATCATTTTATGAGTCACAATTTTTACTAGAGATTTTGAAATGAATGGATTTGCGAATCATTGTTTCAAAGAAATAAATTGTATTTATCAGTGAGTTTCCCTACATTTTCCCCTTATAAGAGTACCTGATATCGTATTATTACAGTAGACTCTTGATAATTTGAAATTGGTGGGCCAAGCATATAAATTTGAATTATCAAGAGTTTTGAATTATCAAGAGTTCGATTTATCGGGAGAAAAATAAACCATTCGAATTACAGAGAGTTCATTTGTTTAATACATACAAAGGTACAGCACGTTACAATAAAACATCATACCGTATTTTAGTACACTTTTAACCAATCAACGGCTTATTTTTCAGTTACTGTAGTTGCAAAGAAATCTGTTATTTAGCGCTATATTTTTCGCCAATAGCTGAACTATCAGCTGTCGACAACTACGTTTGTGCTCAAGGAGATGTCGCGCAATCTAGAGATCGGATTGCCAACTTAGAAAAACAAGTCAGCGAACTAACTCTGACTACTGCTCTAACTAAACAAACATCAAAACGTCCAACACTACTGTCGGGGAAAAAGTTTAGACACTCGAGTTTGGAGCTCTACAGAATAGTAACGAAACTAACTTAGAAAAACACGTAGTATATATAAATTTTTGTTGTTTTATTCTATGTATTCCTGTGAAAACAACAATTTTTTAGCTCGTTTAGGAAATTTTTTATGGCGGTCGGAAGCTAAAAACTCCCTGTTTTTAGAGTATCAAAACCCATCTTATGACTTTGAAAATTCGCACAATGTAAACTAAACGTCAGAACTTTATCAAACTTTAATACAATATAGATACATATATAATGAACTAATTTGTGAAGTTTCAGAATTTTTACTCTACCCAAAAAGTTTTTGTTGTAACTTTGGTAAATTAGCTTTTTCTCAAAAACGGCAAACGCTAGGAAAAAATTGAAAAGCTTGTTTTGAAGGGGATTGGTTTTGTATTTGAAATATTGATAATGCTCAACCAAGTTGTGACGCATGTTATTTATATAAATTAACAAAAAACTGGCTGATCTCGCGCCTGCAAGGGGTGCAAACGCCATCGCCCGCGCAGGAATCCAGTGCAGTGTTGCCACGATGGACCTTGACCGAGCGTAAGGTGATTCCCGCAGTGTGTGTCACTGACGACTAACTCACAGGAAATATCATGTTTGGCATTCTTCCAAAGGCCTGTTTCACATCTACCCGGCTGCCGGGTGCCGGGTGTCGTTTAACCGGCAATGGGGTGAAGAAGTATGGCCCCGTTCACACATGCACGGCATGTGTCGTGACCGGTTAATCACTTGCCCGGCTGCCGGGTACTAGTCGAGGGATGCCGGGTGCCCCCTCGGCGAAGGCCGGCTGCCGGTGTCGGTAAAACAGGCCGGCTGGAGTAGTGGGTATAGTGGCCAAATGTGACTGTTCACATACAACCGGCACCTGCCGTCTGTCGGGTGCACCAAATGTACTTTTAGTTCAGTTGTTTGTTGTTATTGTGTATTAATTTTGGGTATTTGTTTGCAAAGTTTTGGTCATGTCGGAAATAGACCATGAACTACTTATCAATTTAGTTCAAGAGCAGAATTATTTGAATTCAATTGAATTTTTACTCAATTATAATTTTCATTTATTTTATTTTATTACATAACATTGAATTGAATTTCACTCAAATTCAAACAGAATTAAATTTAAAAAAATCCAAATATAAATACAGTTGCAATAAAGGTTATTTCAAAGTAACATTACAATTGCTCTATTTCCAAAAAAAAATTCTTATTTCGTTCTATTTCCATCCCTACGACACACAAGTTTCACAAGCTTGAGTAACTGCCGGAGTGCCGGTGTCGGCGTAATGTGAAAGGTACACTCGTGCCGGTGCCGGCTAGAAGTCGGGTTAACGGCATGCCGGGTAGAAGCCGGGTAGATGTGAAACGAGCCTAAGGGTCCAAAGTTTTACCATCCCAAATATGTCATCAGTAATCCACCTCAGTCTGTCTTCAATTTTAGCTAGTAAGTGTCACATCGCTAAAACTGGGTGCTAAATCTAAATTGTCAGATTCGGAATATGCAATGATTGCCAGTGCTATATATTTTTTTTAGAAGTGAGGGAGTGCCGTTGGTGTCCAAAGCCCTCTTTAGAAAAGGTGATAGGAAATGGTTAGTAATTAATAATAATAATAACTGCTGTTTAGTTTTGACTCAACAGTTCGTAGCCCATCGCTGCCCAGTGTCCAGGGGTTCAATTTGGCAACACTGTACGGGGTTTGCGCCCAGTCAGAGCCGGTGGCGGTCTGGAAGTGCCGTATTCGGCCTCCGCTTTATCTAAATAAAATGTTAACTTATATAAATAATATGCGTAACAATGTGATCGAGCAGTATCAATATTTCAAGTACAAAACCAATCACCTTCAAAACAAGCTTTTCAATTTCTTTCTAGCGTTTGCCGTTTTTTAGTAAAAGTTAATTTACAAAAATTACAACAAAAACATTTTTGGGTAGAGTAAAAATTCTGAAACTTCACAAATTAGTTAATTATATATGTATATATGTATGTATGTATATATGTATTGTATTAAAGTTTGATAAAGTTCTGACGTTTAGTTTACATTGTGCGAATTTTCAAAGTCATAAGATTGGTTTTGATACTCTAAAAACAGGGAGTTTTTAGCTTCCGACTGCCATAAAAAATTTCCTAAATGAGCTAAAAATTTTTTGTTTTCACAGGAATACGTAGAATAAAACAACGAAAATTTATATATACTACGTGATTTTGTTAGTTAGTTTGGTTACTATTCTGTAGAGCTCCAAACTCGAGTGTCTAAACTTTTTTCCCCGACAGTAGCCTACCATGGGAATAGGATGTACTGTACTGTATAGTTTCCTGTTATAACAGGAAGAGATCACTTCGAATTATAGTGTGTTTTGCCGACTAAACTTCGAATTACTGCGTGACTTTGATTTATAGAGTGTTTTTTCGACGAAACTTCAAATTACAGCATGACTTCGAATTATAGAGTGTTAACCGACGAAACTTCGAATTACTGAGTTACTTCAAATTATAGAGTGTTTTTCCGACGAAACTTCGAATTACTGCGTGTTACAAATTGACCTGCTCTCTATTTGGACTTTGAAATACCGAGTGTATCAAAATGCATGGTAAAAATTTGAAATATTGAGAGATTCTCTAGGGACTGAGCCTTCATTTTGAATTATCGAAAGTTTTGAATTATCAAGTGTTTGAATTACCAAGAGTGGACTGTATTGGTTTTTTGTAGAATTTATTTTTAATATAGTCTTTTATAATATCAAAGCGATGTTTAGGTTTGGTAAAAAATTTCACAAGACATGACTAATTCATATCGGAAAGTCGGATCACCGAGTGTCAGATTATCAAGTGTCGAGTAGCCGAGAGTCAACTGTATTATAATTTATGTTCACTTTCAGAAATGTCAGAAGTCCAGCCAAAACCAGTCAATGAGGGTGATCTCAAGGATCTCAAAGAACGGATGAAGATGATATCTGATGCAGATCCTTCTCAGTATCACAACGAGTTCTCCCTTAAGAGATATTTGCGAGCTTTCAAAACTACCGATGCCGCTTTTCAGGTATGAGTGGAAATCAAGTAAAAACCCTTAATTAAAATCCATGTTTTTAGCCTCTGAGCTGTAGTGCTGTGGTGATGGCACCTCAATGCCATCATCAGACATTAAGTTCTTGGCTTTACGATTAGACATTATAAAAACTTAAACAACGCTGCCGAGATCTTCTTGACTGATGATGGCATTGTGATGCCGAAATGGCTGTTGCAACAGTATACAATCTACCTTTTTAAAGAGAACAATTAATCTTTTCTTAACTAATTTTGTTGAATAAGAGTTACCATACTATGATTGTTGAGCAATTATATAATTTAATGGCAAATTCTTTTTATTTATTTCTAGCAAATCTTGAAAACCAACAAGTGGAGAGTGGAGTACGGAATTGCTGAGCTTACCGAGGACAATCCCATAATCAAGAAGAACTTTGAGTCCAAGAAAGCTCGAGTTCTGAAACACCGCGACATGCATGGCAGACCTGTGATTTACATCCCTGCCAAGTACCACAACGCTAATGATCGGGACATTGATGAACTCACCAAATTTATTGTCTACTGTCTGGTATGTAACTAAAGCAAAAATGAAATACACTTGAAATAAAAGTAGAAGATTAACTTATTTTAAAAATGTTTTAGAATTACTTTTTATAATCATAGTCATAGTCAAACATCTTAATTCATAAATCATGTACATCGGTGGTACAGTGAATGGTTTAAAATCAAAATACAGACTAAACAAGAGAATACAAATTTAAACGTAAGCAGATCCTGAAATTTCCATTTCTTTTCTGGGAGGTGGAAACTTGTCAGAAGTTTTTTTTTATGAATGCCCCAACTATTCTTTTTTTCATATTGATGTCCTTTGGTCTGGGATCTCTTCTTGAATATTAAAATGGTATAAAATTACCTGATTCCGTCTGTGATCCTAAATTTGTTGTAATGTGCAGCAACCAGTTTCGAGGCTAAACTCATCATCAGGCCCATGTTATCACTCTTGCAAATGTTCCAATCCCCGAAAATCTTAAGATCCTTGGCCATGTAACTATAAATATCACAAAATTGCCAGTCTTTAGGTAACTTATTAAGTAGCAAATGGTTACCCCACCGGGATCAATAAGCCCAATGCCTTGGGAGATGAAAAAATTCCATGATCTTTAAAGATTGTTATATAACTTCTTTGGGTGTGGTGAAAGGTTAGATATACTATGGATCTTTTCTCTTTAATCAATTCCAACAAAGTTGTTAAGTAATTATTAAGGAAATTGACAGGAAAGCAGGCTTACCTTTAAATAAGTCCATAGAGACACATAAAACATCACAAAATTAAAAGTAGAAATTTTCGTGGTCAACCACTGGAGATTGGAGAAACGTAGTTCTCCGTAGAACTACGTTAGAAAAAGTAGAAAAAGTAGTTTCTCCAATCTCCAGTGGTTGAAAAAGTGGTCAGTGACCACGAAAATTTCTACTTTTAATTTTGTGATGTTTTATGTGTCTCTATGGACTTATTTAAAGGTAAGCCTGCTTTCCTGTCAATTTCCTTAATAATTCCTGGCAAATGCCCTATCTTTTTATAAGATAACCTTAAAGTTGTTAAGTAATTCATTCTTCAACTGACGTTAATGGGCTCAATCGAATTATTCCTTTTGCTTGAAATTTGTCTCCAATCTTCACAGCAATGTGGCAGTTCCTTTTTAATTTTATATACACCGACTCTACTGAAACATATTCAACAACACACATCCTCTTCCATGAAAAAGTATAGAAAAATATGAAAAACAATAATGGTTTGCCTCTTCTACTCAAGTCGTTAACCTCAACTTTGGATTCCTCAAATGAATCGTCATTGTCATCATCATCGGGATCACAACAGCGGGATTCAGGAAGGATTATACCTCTTGTCAGCAATTGCCTTTCACTTTTGAGGATTTGAACGTTGTGGTTCTTGGTTTTTTAATGGAAGGTACTCCACAAAAAAGTATAGAAAAAAATGAAAATCAAAAAACAATAACGGTTTGTCTCTTCTACTTAAGTATTAATGACACATAGTCTCAAAAAATCAAACAAGTCTTTTTTTTAGAAAAATGAAATAACACTTAGTCTCCTAAACTGGCAAAATAGAACTCCTTGCAAATTAAAAACTAGTATAATATATTTTTCATTGCCCTAGGGGAACTCAAGGTTGCTGAAAATTTTGATGGTAATGAAATCATTTGGATTTTCCATCATTTCAGTTTCCCTTTTAAGGAATAGATATCCATCTTCTGCTTGTGGTGCGTCATCACATTCAATTTCTATCACTTTGTTATTGTTCTCACCTGACTGGGGATGACTAAATCCATTCAACTCCTGGTCAATGGGTTCATGACTTAGTGTTCTAAGTTCTAAGTATTGCATTTCCTCATATTGCAAGGCTAGTAGTTCCCTGGATGAGATCTGGTCTCAATCATAGTTTTCCAAGTCTTTCAAAATATCGTCTAAGTCTTCAAAATAATTGTCTATGTCACTGTCTTCATTATCTGTGAAAGGTGAAAATTTACAATCCGATTTGCAAAGTGTTTTGGGGATATCTCATCTCTAGTGCAACCCATGGCAGAACAGATAATCTTCTTTAATTTTTTATCTGAAAAATTCTTGGTGAATTGATCAAACGCCTGATTGTGGGCTTACTTGAGTATGTAGGCTTTGTCACGAGCCCATAGATTGTAGCTTGGTCGTTGGATCCTTGTATTGTCAAACAGCCATTTAGACAATCAGAGCGCTGAGGTCGTCCAAACTCTTTCCTAAAGGTGACAGCAACACCTGCCGTCATTTGTCTGGGGCATCCAAAATCTCCTGAAATTCAGTGTGCAAAAGCTGTTTCACGATTTCCTTTGAATTTGTTAATTTGATCCGACATGTACGCCTCTAGAATCTGGATTGGATCTGTTGTCTTTGGTAGCGTTATCAAACGTTGGTTGCGAGGTTGATGGTCTTAGCGTTTCTGATGAAGAGGTTTGTTTTGGACAGGATGACACATGAGTTTGGAGATCTGATATAGCCTCAAAACCAGTTGCTGCACATTACAACAAATTTAGGATAACAGATAGAATCAAATAGTTTTATACCATTTTAATATTGTTTTACTTCTGGTTAGAAAGGGTGAAACATTTTAGACCTCGGGTTTTGTTACAAAATCACGTTCCTTTGTTCCACGGTCTCAAGGAAATGATAAACGTCTTCAGCTATAACTGTGAAATCGTGTACATATTCGACATTTAAGCTGGAATTATGAACATCTGCGGTTAGAATCAAGAACATCACCTAGAGGATTGCAGAAAAATCTTTAATTTTAAATCGTTCATTCAATTCAACTCGTTCATTTCACAATTGCAAAAACAAAAAGTCGGCTTGGTACAATCGAACCAAGCTTAAACCAGAGATGATTTTTCCTGAACCAACTCCTCGAACCAACTCCTCGGGCCAACTGTTGTCAGGCCAACAGATTCGAAAATATCGTGGACCAGTAGACCTCTAATCTTAGCTGCAGAAGACTATCTTGTTTACCTGCCCAAAATAAAGTGAAATTGTTTGTTAACCTTTGTAAATAATTTTTAATTGTATATCTGCAGGAAGAAGCGTGCAAGAGGTGTTTTGAAGAGGTGATTGACAACCTGTGTATAGTGTTTGACCTGAATGAGTTTGGCCTCAGCTGCATGGACTATCAAGTGGTTAAAAACCTCATCTGGTTGCTGAGCAGACATTACCCTGAGAGACTAGGGGTCTGTCTCATCATCAATGCCAACACACTCTTCTCCAGCTGCTGGGCAGTCATCAAGGGATGGTGAGTCAAGGGAAATGTAAAAGGCAGAAGTATTTCACTATGTTTTAGTTGTTGTAAGTTTTTACCTTTTTCATTTATAGGCCTAACTTGAAATTTCTTAAAAGTATATTCTAAATTTGTTACGCCAAGTTTGTGGGTCTTCACAAGAAAACGTGTTGGTTGGTGTTTTTATAACCTGTAAAATATCTAGGGATGGATGGTATTGTACTGTTAGTCCGAGACATGCTTTTTTATTTCTTTCCCAATTTTGGGATCGGAACAGATCAGGATTATTCTCTCAGGGGAAAATTGGTTTGTTTCAAAAATCCAAAATAAAAATTCTTGCAGATGGCAATAATAATGACAAAGGAAATATATATATTTACATTCTTTATGATACTGTTCAATAAAACCAATATTGAGAAAAAACGTATTGGTAGCAAAATTGTTGGGGAAAAAAGTTATATAACATAATTATTTGGTGAAATTAAACTGTGGAACCTTAATCAAGGCCCCGCTAGAAAAACAGACCATGCTGCAGGATCCATGACGTCACACTAGTGGATAGATATCATTAATAAATGCATTGCCATCACCATTCCCATATGTTTTAGGTAAATAAACAAGCTGTCTGTTTGTAAGATTTTAATGGTAAGAGTTTAGTACAACTATCCACCACTGTGACGTAGTGCTGCGCTGCCCATGCTGCAGCATGGCCTGTTTTTTCTAGTGGGGCCTTGCCTTAATCTTATGTAAAAAGCGCTAGCTAAATACAAGCGGGTAATTAAACCGATTATCACTCCAATTTTTAACACTATGCTGGTGTGATGTGATAACTGCTAATTTTGGGGTTAACCTAGGTAGAAATAACAACTTGGTTTAATACTAGACTTGGGATCGGTCCAACATGGTCAGCTCAAGGAAGGAGTCCCGATGAGATACCGGAAGAGTCAAGATAGAGTATGATGGACTGGCCGCACAGGACCCTGGGTAGGAGTGGGGATAGGCTGTTGGCCAATCACACATTTATTGTACGATATAGTTTACAGTAAGCCATTGATTATATTTTACAGTTTTTGTTACTATAATAAATACATTACAATAACCACTTGGTAACAGTATTAGCTTTAGTAATCGTAAATTTTTAAAGTGTACCTATACAATGTCATCATGACTATAATGTGCGATTTTAGAGCCTTCTTGAACATGTCATGCAATCTAGGTGCCATCTTGAACATGTCCTGCAATCGCGTACCAACATCATCGTCTCCTGAGTTCGCCAAACCATTATGAACATCTCCATCGCATAGACGTCATCATTGTCTCTTGCAACGCAGAAAAATTGCCAACGATTGGAACAAATTCCATTCTAAATTCTATTACCTATTGTCATGAAAACATCCTTATAATGAATGTAATCCCATTTTGAAGTTCCAAAATATTTTTCCCAAAAATAACCTATGAAAATTTAGTTAATTAAGTTAAAAATCAATGTTTTCATCAACTGCTCATGTTAATTCATCTAATCTATTGTAAAAATATCAATTTTTTCTCAAGTTAAGATATATTTAATAAAATGCATTCAACTCTGTTCAAATCTATTAGCCTATATTTTGCCTTTGTTCTAGGCTGGACGAAAACACAGCTGGGAAAGTAACGTTTGTTAACAGCGAGGAGGAGCTCTGCAAGTACCTGATCCCTGATATTTTGCCTACTGATATCTAGTCACCAGAGTAGCTCACGAGGGACCCACAGTAAGATTTGTAGGCCAAGACAAGACGACCATGACCTCGTCAATTAATCGACTGTCAATTAATTCTGATTAGTCTCAGATATGGATTAAGTTAGTATTTATTGTTCTGTTGAAACGTTGCTTTAAGATGCCATTGATTTTTAAAGTATAAAATATAGCCTTTACCTCTTGGGATACATTACTAGAACAATGTTTGTTATTTTGCGGATATTTTTAATTGATTTGAACCCTGGGATCGTGTGGAAAGTGGGGTCTGACAAAATTAAACAAAAGATTATTCGTTACCTCATATTGAAAGATGTGGATGAAGGAATTTTTTAAAGAATAGATGGTTGATGGTTGATGGTAAATAGGATACAGTTTAAACTGTAGGATTCTATTTTTTTCTCAATTAAGCTAGCTAAGCTTGCTACAGTACTTGAAATGACAATTGTTCTTTATAGAGGCGAGTTTAGGACCTCGTGGTCCTTTCTTACAGTTAACCTCTACCATTCTACACAACCATACTATACAAGTAGTTTCAAAATGTGAAAATGCAGCTGTAATTCATCAAATTTTTAGGTTAAACTGTTTTGCATTGAGCATAATTTAGAAAATAACAAAACATTTTTAATGATAGATTTTTTTGTCTTGTAATTCTTACTAAACTTGTTGACATCGTTTTTAAACAAATTAGTTTGGTGAAATACAATGGATAGTGTTTCTATTAGCCCTTGGACTCTAATTTTCTCAAGTAAGCTTACTCTATTCCTTTTCAAAAAATTCCTTTACTAGCAATTACTGGGCTTTCCTTTAAAAACAATAATATTATTGACACTTTCATTTTGACTGTCATTTTTCATTGGTGGATTCAGTTATTTCTTATCAAATTTGGAATGTAGACAAAATTTATCCTCTTATTTTAGCTAGTGGCTAGTTTTTAGACTTTGCGAAATTGTTAAGTGGCGTTAGAAAATTAATACGTTGAATTTAAGTTAAATTAAAAACTAAACTCTTGCCACAGGCTGAAATTTTGAGCAGCGGAAAAACAAAATATCTTCTAATACAAGAAGTTCCTATTTTACCTATTCTTGCCTCTACCTCGCCTAAATTTAATCAAATTTTATTTATACATCGTCTTTAGATTTAAGTGTTTTCATTTTATCGTAGTTTATAGGTACACGTCTTTGACAAAGAAAATGCCATACTTGTTTAAATGAAATAATTGTATACATGTTTTACTAGAACAACTTCAAACTAAGTACAGCAAATTTCTAACTACCTCACTGAGGTATACCTAATAGGCTACAGTTAAAGTAGATATTTAAATTTCTCTTTTCCTCCATACTATTTTGATGCCATTTTTGAAATCCGTAGATTCTTTTCTTTAAGACCTTCTATATGACAAAACCCTAACCTAATATGACAAAACTGTTTCAAACCTTCAGCATTTATTTTTACTTCCAATATCAATATTTTTATGCATTTTATGACTAGTATATCAGCTTAGTTCTAGCCTAGAAATCTTACTGCTTCTAGGATAGTTATCGTTATAGTTTTAACTTAACTCGTAATTTATTGTGATATGTGTTAGGGAACATTGAAAAGATAAAATGTTGAGCTTACGTTTTGGATTTTAATTTAAAATCAGCTTCTTACTAAAAATAGTACAGTAACACTTAAATTAAGTACCTTGACTGTAAATACTGTTTAGGCCTTCAGTAGTTCTAGTGATTTTTGTTTTGACAAATTTGTTTATTTGGACCTAAATTACTCAAAGATGATTGAGAAAGTGTTTAACATAAACATCTTTTTAGTGGGACCTTATAGACATAAAATATTCATGATGGTAAAAACTAAAAACTACCTTATCTATATGTCTGTGAGTAAGTTGTTTAGAAATAATTTTTAGAGATTTTAAAATTAGAAACTACCGGTATGAACTATGTTTATTTATTTAATTTTATTTTTAAGCCATACAAAACAATTTCTGTGTTTATATTTATTGCCGTATTTCGTTTCAGTAAATTGCTTTCAGCAATACTCGTCTAGGATTAAAAGTATTTGTATTGATTTGTTGATAGAGTTAGAGAGTATTAATATGTTGTACAGTTCTCCACTTATTTAAACTCAAACAAAGAATTTGGGGAAAAATGTTATGTATTTGTTGTATAACTGTTTGAATTTATTTGTTGATCATGCAATTGAAATTATATTAAGTGTGTTGCAAAAGATTGTTTAAAAAGTGATATATCAAATAGTATTATAATTTTCTTCATGCGTAGGCTTTCGCGGCCGTTGTCATTGAAATCCATGGTGATGGTTTTCGGCGTAAACCGCGTCGTCAGTTGTATATCACTGCCAGACGTTTCGCCCTTACTATGAAGTGGCATCCTCAGTGGCTAGGCTGAGACTAAGTCAGAGAAGTCCGTATACCTGGACGGACTTCTCTGACTTAGTCTCAGCCTAGCCACTGAGGATGCCACTTCATAGTAAGGGCGAAACGTCTGGCAGTGATATACAACTGACGACGCGGTTTACGCCGAAAACCATCACCATGGATTTCAGTATTATAATTTGTTGACAAATTTGTTCTCTATAGTTGAGTTACTGTAAGAAATATATATCTGGACAAATTATTTTGTTATTTCTTACCTCATATTATGTTTCTTTGGTTTAAAAAAATATACTGTTTTTAATAATTGCTCAAATTAAAGACATTTAACTTAAGGTATTTAAAATGTCTTTAATTCTCAATCACTCGAGTTAAATACAATATACCGGTATTAATATTTAAATTGTTACTTTTTCACCTGACCTTTTATTTGAAAGATTATGGATGGAATAAATGTACTATCACCATACATATAAGAGTGTAATATTTAGGAAAGTATGTGAATACAGTTTTGTTTTTAAATACTGTTTGCTAAAGATGGTTTGTTTTAACAGCCTAATAGTTCAAATAAGTGGTCCATAAATCAAATAAAAAGTACATACGGAAAGTATTTATCTTCTATTTTACTTGCTATGTGTTTTAAGGTTATTAAAATGTAGGATTATTCTATATTCACATTAAATTCGGATCGTACAATCATTATTTAATAATTGTGAACATATTGAGAAGTAGTTGCACAATCCTAGACATACAGCAGTTTGAATAGAAGATCCCATTCTTTACATTTACCCAGTTTACATGTTACGATAAACAGAGTATAATTCTAGTTCCTGAAAAGTCAGTATTCTCTGCATTTTCTCCTAGATAAGAATAAAACTACTAATTTATTGTAAACCACTTTCTGGTGAAATAATGTTTAACTACATCAACTATTATTCAACTTACTGTTGTAAAGTGAAGTACAATTTATATGAATCGCTTCCAGGTTGATTTTCTTGAAATTAAGTACTATTAACTTCATCTAAAGACAATGAGTTGTCCTGAATTAAAAAAAAAACACAAGCACTTACATCATTTTTAAATCAAAAAGCAATGTGTTATTATTATTATTTACAAGATGATTTTCCCTTTTAAAAATGCCAGAATTTGTCTTTATGCGTGTAAACTAGCTGTTCTGAATTATGTTCAGTTTTAATCGACTACTTGATTCCCATACGTTGGAAGGACCAACTACTAGTTATATTTTTAAATAAAATAATTTTTTGCATGCTTGAAATTTATAATAGTTTTCAGTGGACAGACTCAAATCATTGACTTTATATCTAGTGTAGATATAAAGTCAATGCTCAAACCACACTCCCTCCCCCTCCCAAAAAAATATAGGGTGTTCCAGTTTTGCATGACCAACAAGTGGCTACTCTATCTTTCATTATAAGCACTTCATAAATGTATGTAGAAACCTTTTGTAAGTTTTTTCATAACCTCAACAGGACAAATTCTTATTTTGATCAATTCTGTGGTCTTTATTTCTTAAAGCTACAAAACCTAGTTTTGACTTAACTAAAGCAATTCAACTACAAAAGTAATTACCGGTAACTAAAAAAGACCATTTCATAATAATAACCGTAAAATGGTACTGTAACAAATTGGTAAACATAACATTCATTATTTGAGATAGAAACTTTTAACATATCAATATAAAACCTCGTGCAAGTATTTGTCAGTTCTATGTTGGTGTGAAGATATTCAATATTGTATATTATATATTGTTAAAGATTATTAATATATTAAGTTTTATCTGTCAGACTTTATATATGTATGAAAAATAAACTATTATGTGTTATTTTGAAATATGATTTTTCCTTCTAGACTAAATCAAACTACATTAGATGCTAGGTTTAACGGTTAGAGTAGATGTAAATAAACGGCGAGAAACCTTCTATATACCTATTTGAGAATTTGGCTTATAAAACTAAAAGTTTAAGATCCAAAACTATTGATTGGGACTCCAATGATTTTATGACAAACCTTCATGCTCCAAGCGCACAAGTTTTCTAAATGGACATTTTTTTTACGAATGCAATAATTTGCCTGACTGGTCAAAATGTATCACCATAGTAATATCCTTCATGGTATATTGTCTTATATTTTGATCCGTTGACTTATTGCCAATAGTTATAATCATTATCAGCTGGTGTTCGGTAAAAATTCATTACAGTATAGCAGCAAATAATGAAACCCCATTTGACTAAGCCGGTGGCAAACAGCCGTTTTCCGAACTAATTTCATGCGTGGAAACACCATTAAAACAGTGTAGTGTGCCAAAAGATTTTTTACAAACACGCATGTTAAAATCACTTCTGAATTTGTTACAACTATATGCACATAGTAACAACTTAGCTTAGTGATATAACAACAGGAAATACAAATCAACATCATACATTTAATACCACTTGTGCGGATAATCTATGCTAAGGGCCACAAAAGTCTGCAGTTGGCGGTAGCCAATAGCAAGCCTGGACTAGCGCAACATTGCAACTTCACCTGTTCACTACTTTTTGACACTAATTATAATATACTAAACCGTATTTTCAAATCAGCTGGTATTATTAGATTTGGGTACACCGCACTGTCCTCATTGGCTCCTTCAAAGTCACTTGGTAAATAGACTCCTCCCTCAACTGCAGACTCTCTTGGACTGTACTGTAGGTGTGTTAGGTGTTGACTATCTTCATTGTAATACACTGGATCTAATCTTTTCAGTGTTTGTTTGAGCTTTCAAACTGTAGAATGACGATGAAGTATGTGACCGCCATTCCTGCAAACTAAAAATAAAATGTGTTAATAGTTCTACAACAAGATGAAAATATTTTAATGACTCAATAACTATTTATACTGAACAAACAATATTCTTATTTATTTTGCGTGTTTTATAGTGTAAATGTTTACTTAACACTAACTTTTTATGTTTTTTTAAGCTGGGTTTTACTAGGCGCGGAAGCAGAACGTGGATTGCGGAGTCCACTCTCCTCTTGTCTTAGGTAATTTAATGATACTGTTTTCCTAGAAGCGAAGCAGACCACCATTGAAATCGCTTCCCCACACTCCATTATCCGCTTCCACTCCTAGGAAAACCCAGTTTAAGGTCCAAGGGGTAAGACCAACCCCTGGTATTCATTATTTTTAACGTGGATATCACCACCATATATCATCACCAACCCAGTGGCAAATGAGATATGATTTGTCCTGTCTTTCAATCAAACTAGCAATCCTCATATTTGAAGGCAAGCATTATAATTACCTAGCATTTTACAATCACATTTTACTTCCTACCTACTATTATTCCTTTTAATATGTTTCTTCCTTGAATTCCTTTACCAGGAGTTGCATACAACATTTTACATAATACAGTACACATAATACTCACTGAGGTGATGTTGGTTGTGTTAATTTTGAAAAGGTCAAGCACACTGAATTCACATGTGTTATTGGAGATCTGCATCAGAGCCAACTTGACCTGAAAATGTCAAATTCCTTTGAAAGGAGTCAAGAATTGTTCTATTTATCTAAAGTAGAACATAGTATATATATATTTTTTAAAGATATTGAAAATAAGAAATTATTCTTTGCTCAGTTAATGTTTAAGTAAATTTAATCAGTTTTTGGATGGGTAGCCCTCTAGAGGTTAGATCACCTTCAATATTGTCAATCGCCAAGTGTTTTGGGTATTTGCCTTAGCCATATGGACATTCAGAAATTTATCAAATACAAGAGGTTCTACCCACGAAGTCACGGGTGTACAGAAGCCACCATTTAATTAACTTTGACTTTATATTTCATTTAAAGGGCCCAATTTTGCGAAATTTTCATCAGAAGGAATGTTAAAAGCAGCGGAACATTCATACCTTACGTCCAGAGGTGGCCGACGTGGGTACAGTTGTACCTGAACTCGTCGCTCACGACGACCTGTTAAAGATCGGCGACAACCTCTTGGACGACCAACAGACATGTTTTGTTAATCTCATATTCATTGTGTTTCAAACACCATAAAGCACTCATTTGTATCAAACAGCTAGCAATAGCATCAGTGTTCATTTACCGCACCTCTTTTAAGAACATAAATAATAAAATAAGTAAACAAAAATGTAATCAAACAAACTATTGTCAGTTGCATTGACCAGCTGTTGTTCACTAAATTAATCAAAAAACGTTAACTTCTAAAATGTGTAAGGCCCTTTGGAAATCGGCCTCTGGGGCAGAGCCCTAAGAGAATTTGTTCATAACAATACTTTTCAGCTAATCTACACACTCTGAGCTTCATTTTGATGTGCATTATGCATATAATTTTATTTGGTTAATGACCTTAACCATTTACATAAAATTTGATTGTATCACTTTAATAATATACCTAATAGATCTCTTATACTCCAAACATGGTGGATATGCATAATTAATTAAACTAGTGGCCCTGTTGCTCGAATTCGAGCAATTGTTTCATTGTAATATTTACGCCAAACCAAATTAAAATAGTAAATATTTCATTTCAACCAAGTTAGTAAATGTTTGTAGCAAACTGTTAAATTAGCAAACTTATTGACTGTTTACAATTAACATATGATCTTCTTCTAACTTTTAATTTCTGACAACAGCTGGAGTTTCATAAAAGTTGTTGTTTCCAATGTTAATCTTATGGAGAAATACGAAACTTTAAAGGGCTCCAGTGCCTCACTCTCTCATTATTTCCCTAAAAAGAAAGTTTCCTGCACAACTTCACGTTACGCTCTTTCCAATGACACCAAAAACATAACAATCGGTTGTCGGTTCAGTAGTTTCGGTGGAGTAATTGTCACAAAAAATCTGCTTGCGTATTAAATAAGTATAGATATAGATAAGTATACAGGGTGATCAACTCAAGGAGGCCACCATTGGAATATCGGAAACGGTAAGAATTAGAGAAAACTTTAAATGGGGGACATTCCTTTATTTTTTGTGACAGTTAAAAATATGATTTTAGTTTTTCAAAATTCAGCCACCATTTTCCAAAATGGCGGCCAACTTTGAAATTTCTTACGGAACACCCTGTATTTTATCATGTTTTCGGATAGAACATGCAATTTAAAAACTTTTTTATTCTTGACATTTTTTCGATAAACCCACTCGTTTAGGAGTTACAGCCTATGGAAAAATTGCTTCCGGTGTACATTTGACATCAAGTAGCTCCAAAAAAGCAGGTTTATAGCGAAAATGCGAGGAGAAAACAAGTCAAATAAGTCTTAAAATTGCATCCACATTCCAAAAAGTCCATAAAATACACAGTTTTCCACTTTTCAAGTTTGCCGCCAATTTGGAAAATGGCCGCCATTTTTATATAATAGAATTAATATTTTTAACGAATTTTATGAACTTTTTGGAATGTGGATGCAATTTTAAGACTTATTTGACTTATTTTCTCCTCGCATTTTCGCTATAAACCTACTTTTGGAAAATGGCGGCTGAATTTTGAAAAACTAAAATCATATTTTTAACTGTCACAAAAAATAAAGGAATGTCCCCCATTTAAAGTTTTCTCTAATTCTTACCGTTTCCGATATCCCAATGGTGGCCTCCTTGAGTTGATCACCCTGTATACATTCTTACCTTATTTCTTGTCTCAGGTAGTAAGTCCAAACTCAATAAACAACTTACATGAAACCCAGTTCTCTTTGCCTGAAACATGTTAAAATCTATCAAAGTATGTATGGGTAATGAATTAGTAGTGTGTTTTCTTCGGATTAGTTTGAAAATTAAAATTCGATTATAACTTGAAATCACAAATTCTTTTAAGGGAAAGTAGTCTACACTCCTGAAATGTTTGTTCGTATTCGGAAAATTGAACCCATCAATATGGGCCAAAGTCTGAGATGCTAACTACTAAGCATGCAACTCACTGCTGTTCATGGGCGATTTTATTTTTCAACCCCAAACTTATGTTCACAATTTAAACAAAACCCCTCCAGGAATCTTTTGGACCCCTCGTTTAACTCCAAGTATTGTTACCTTCTTAATGAATGTTCTGTTGACTAATGTCTCTGTATGACATAGGATTCCTATGTTTTTGCATGATTAGTTCATGCAGTTTTCAAAGACGGTTTAACCAAACATTCACATTGAATCCCCTATTTTTCAATAACGAGTGCTTGTACAATTCTGACCCTGGCCGCAAAAGCCTGTGGATGAAGAATGCCCTTCATTTATTGGATTCCAACTTCCAACAGAATAGTTAAAATTTTTAACGTACGATGTGATTCACTCTTGCAACTTAAGGAAGATGTTACTCACATGATAAGTGGTATAGGTTGAGACCCAAGTGATGGAAATTAACAAAGTGACAGCAAACAAGCACCAAGATATCTGCTTGACAATCATAAACTTGTCAAAGCCACTGGACGGAGGTCTGATGAGTCCATCTACGATGTAATACGGATTGATTACGGCAAGGACAAAGATGTAGGCGAACAGACAAATCAGTTGGATCCCGAAGAATGAGTTGATTCCTTCAATGGCTTTACAAAGCTTGTAGTGGACTTCTCTGATCTCCTCTAAGGTAATCTTAGGAGTTTCTAGAACAAATTGAAACTTTTGTTAGATATTGGCTGTGACGCCGAAAAACACCATGAACTCTTACTATTCTTGTGGAGTAGATTTTGCACAATGATAAAGAGCTCACTCAAACATACGACAACAATGGTACAGCTCTAAGATACAATGTCAATAATAACAGTTATACAACCGCATTTTCAAAATATGATTCGATTTGAAGATTCAACTGCAATAATATAAATCTTGAAACCTTAAAACAAGGATTATTTGATAGTTTTACAGTTTATGTGTTAATTTAATAGTTGTTTTTTTTTTGTCAAATATTTTAAAATATTCAGAGTTTAACTAATTATTTTTATCTGCAGACAAGTAATTTGACTAAATTTTATTACCTGAAGATGGAACGAACCCTGCAAGTATCACTCCCAGCTTGATCATTGTGTTTAGCCTTACAAAACTTTGAGACAAACCCTCAGCTAATCTTATGAACAAAATCAACATCAATACTATATAAAAATGGCCCACATAGGTTAAACTCTTCACAAGCCTCTCATACTGATTAGCAGCAATACTCATTGGGATCAAAACAAGCAAAAATCCCAAAATAAAAAGTGTGACTCGATTAATAAAATTCCGTCGAGGTACTTTGAATCCCTTTGAAGTAAAAACTGGTTCCACTTCACAAATGTAAGTGATAATGGAGATGAATTCCCCATTCCTGCTAACAATAATGTTGAATATCTCGATTAAAATCGCTCCCAAGAAGATGCTAATTGCTTTTACAATATTAACAAGGTTCTTAACTGGATCACTTGTTTTAATTGGTGGATTCGTGATTGTTATGTAGGTTAGAGTAGTCGTTGTTGAAGTAATCAGTGAGACTGACACAAGTGCAGACCACGGAATGAATTGAAAACCAGAATCTGTAAGTTTTAAAGGCAAAAATCCACTAAAATTGAAAATAATAAGTAGCCAAGTTGGAAAAATAGAAACAATGTGTTTTGTGAAACGATGTTTTAGATCCAACGTTTCCATTCTTTTTATGTTTTGTTTCCAATGAAAGGAACTACGCGATAATGACTGACTTTTTAAGTTATGACTTTTGAATTGAATCCTTCTATCCTGAAAAAAGGTGACAAAATATTTAACGAGCTTTCAGCTACGAGAGGCTCATGATTATAATAAGGATCTTTTTAAATGACAAGGATTTAAAGGTGACAGTATTTAAAATCACCTCATTAGTTTTGGCATTGGTAATAATTGAATACGAAACTTAAACACTGTCTGAGAAGGCTCAGATAAAAAAATACATTGTCTTTCTTAAAAATTACAGTATATTTTTAAAATATGACTGTCTTACAAATTGACTGATTGAGTACACTGTGTTATTAATTTATATTAATAAACAATGTATTTAACAAAATAAACAAAATGGGTTAAAATAACCAAATAAGAACATGAATAAATAATAAATACTAAGTAGTACTAAATCATAATCTTTGTTTTAAACAGTTGCCTTATTGGTGTGTGCTTATTTTTAGTACAGTACATAGAACAGAAACTCAGTCAAACAAAAAAACTAGAACTTAAAGGAAAAAATTATTAATGTATTGCAATGGATAAGTAACTATAGACAGTTCTAATATTTATCGGTTTAAGGAGAAGGTTTCCTGTGGTGGCGAATTGTACCCCCAGTCAGTCTAGTTTTGGCTTAAAATACCTACTTTGTATGGTCACAATTTCATTGAAAAGTATTAAAGTCCTTCTTCTAGGGCTGGACTTGTACCCCCCCCCCCACCCATCCAATTGACTGTGATTAATCAATGTATTTTGGATATTTTGGCTATTTTTTATCTGGTGTTTTCAAATTAATGACTTAATCATTAAGTAATCCGTAAAACACAGATTTTCAACCAATCCATCAAACAAATCTTTGTCCATCAAGGTACAAGTTTTTATATTTGGATACCTCGACGTCAATTAGACACAGTATTTCTTAAACTAAGTAATATGATTCAGTGCAATATAGTAGTAACACAACATGTGAATTATTTGCTAGATTTTGACGTCCAACATGACAGGACTATTCTAGATGAAGTGACTTTCTAATTTATTGGATCAGAATAATTCTTCAAAGGACTGGTGGTGATTATATTACTTCATTTTCCGCTTAAGCTGGTGTTAATGTTGGGTCATAGTTACGTCTATAAAAAAAAATACTGATTTCATTACCTATAAAAATAATGGTGAGTCGGTGGCATAACAGATTGTGACGCCAAGGTACAATATTGTGGGTTCATATCACAATGCTGCCAATCAAAGTGCATCATTCTTGTGCTGTACCAACTCACTCCATGCTTTGATAGATATGCTCATCATGCAGGCCTTTAAAGTGCATGGCAATATGCAAATGTGAAAGTGACCCCAACCTGTTAAAAAAATAATGTAGCAACATGTTAATCGTATATCCTAAATAATGTTATTTCTTACCTTCATTGCGGCCTGAAATATTTATTTGGTACACTCCATGAATCTTTGTGCATCCCCTTTTCAAAAGTAAGTTTAACTGAACAATATTCAAAGAGATTATTTCAGCAAGTCTAATAAATAGTAGTTCACTAGAGATTATATGAGTGTGAATAAAAAACCATGCCACTTTTACAGCCATGTTCGCAGGAAGGGTAGTTTTGGCAGTTGCTAATGCTAAATAGATGAGAGCTAACAAAACAAACACACACTGCTTATCACTAAAAGTTTGTCTTTCCTTTTTGATGCCGAATTTCATTAGTAATTTTTCAACTTCGCTTATGTATTGTCCTATTATACCGAATGTTGGTCCTTTAGATTGGATCAAGAAGACAACACCGATGACAAATGAACCAATACAGGTCAAATACACATTCAGATTTGTAATAAAGACTTTTAAATGTGAGAGAGTCTCTTCTTGAGTTTCTATTTTTATGTAGATGGATACAATCATTCTTACAATTATAAGGAATGTGGATATTCCTGCTGAATAGACACACAATTTGTATCCAGAATCATCATACTTCATAGGGAAAAGTCCCAGAATCCTATAAACCCATATAAACCAAGGTGGGAAAATGTTGGACATTTTATTGGATTTTTTTCTGTGTTAAAGAAGTTCAGGTTTATGAAAGTCTGTAGCTTTTTTTCTGTGACCTCTTCTTTTTTGACAACTTAAGGCTGACTTTATTTTCTTCTTTGTTCCTTTAGACACATTTTTTGCATATAATTGTTGTATTTACTAAATAAAATCGTACTCTTTAATTACTTTCCGTAGAGGTAACTTGAGAAAAGATACAATTTCCGTACTATTGAACCTCTTGGAAATAATGGCGCTCAAATTATTCATCATACCCGGAGTCACTCACTTGAAAATAAAAACCTACAGACATGTCTCATTAGTAGCAATGACTCCTCATTTAATTGACGTTTATTGATAATTTTACTAAAGCTGTAATTCCGTCTATCTGGGCTGTAGAAGATATACAGGTTGAGTTTTAATTGTCCCCCCCCCCAACTTTTTTCTACATTTTTTCAAATATCAAACCCAGACCACTTCCAAACATTGTTGGGTAGTAAGTACTTCATTTTGACAAGGTGGTCATTTAAGGCCGCCATCTTGGACCCGCCATATTGGATGCAAAATATTTTTTTCGAAGGTAAAGGTGGGGTTGTGAGCCATTATTTCGAAGTAGGTTTTTTCCCTGATTACAATGCCACAAATCGTTTTTAAAAGTCTTGATCCATTCCAAAGTTATAAGGTCTTTTTAAAACTTTATTTTTAGCGAATTTTAACATTGTGCATTTACAAACTAAGACCATAATCTCAAAATAGTGCTAGATAAAGATGAGTATACACTACCAGTCATTGTTGACCTATGTTCACTTGGTTATGACAGATGCATTTTTTTCGTCCGCCATATTGGATCCGCCATTTTGAAATGTGATCAATTATTTTAAATATGAAGGGGGTGTTGTGACCCATCATTTCGAACTACTTTTTTAAGTCAAACTCAATGCCGCAATCCATTTTTTGTTATCAAGTATTATTTATGAAATATTGAAATTTTTTTGTTAAAATTGTCAATATTTTAAAATTAAAATATGAAAACGAAAAACCGACCATGGAATTGAGTTTAGCTTAAAAAAGTAGTTCGAAATGATGGGTCACAACACCCCCTTTATATTTAAAATAATTGATCACGTTTCAAAATGGCGGATCCAAGATGGCGGACGAAAAAATACATCCGTCATAACCAAGTGAAAATACAGGGTGATTGATATAAGTGTGCCAGCCGTTTTATTCGAAAACCATAAGAGATATCAAAAAAAGTTAAATGGTAAGTACCTTGGACTTTTTATTTAAAAAATTGTAGTAAAGTCGAAAAAATTATTTTAGCCGCCATTTTTCCAATATGGCCGCCAGCTTTGATTTTTCTTATAGAACACCCTGTATTTTATGATGTATTCTGGTAGAAAATGTAATTTTAAGACGATTTTATTCTTGTGATTTTTTTCATAAACCTAACCGTTTCAAAGATAATAATGGTTTAAGTTGTGAAATTTTGAATGGTTTTTGAATAAAACAGCTGGCAAGCTTGCTTAGGCCTTTATCGAAACTCTTTCTCATGCAGAAATTTCAAAACTTTAACCATTATTATCTTTGAAACAGTTAGGTTTATGAAAAAAATTACAAGAATAAAATCGTCTTAAAATTACATTTTCTACCAGAATACATCATAAAATGCAGGGTGTTCCATAAGAAAAATCAAAGTTGGCGGCCATATTTGAAAAATGGCGGCTAAAATATTTTTGTTGACTTGACTACAATTTTCTAAATAAAAAATGCAAGGCACTTACCATTTAACTTTTTTTGATATCTCTTATAGTTTTCGAATAAAACGGCTGGCACACTTATATCAATCACCCTGTATGTCGACAATGACTGGTTGTGTATACTTATCTTTATCTAGCACTATTTTGAGAATATGTTCTTAGTTTGTAAATGCACAATGTTAAAATGGGCTAAAAATAAAATTGTAGAAAGGCCTCATAACTTTGGAATGGATCAAGATGTTTAAAAACGGTTTGTGGCATTGTAATCAGGGTAAAAATCTAATTCGAAATAATGGGTCACAACCCAACCTTTACATTTGAAATAAATATTTTGCTTCCAATAAGGCGGACCCAAGATGGCGGCCGGAAATGACTACCCACCTTTTCAATATGAAAAACCTTTTCATTATTTGGAAAAATGTACAAAAAAGTTTAGGGGGGGGGGGCAATTAAAACTCACCCTGTATATTTTTTAAAAACATTAACTAGGTCCAATTAAAAATGTTTAAATGTCTATAAAAATTATTGAATTTTTGTATAGTTTATATTACTAATAAAACGGTTGATTTTACGGA